GTTCTATACCTGGTCTAACCACCTATCATGTATAAGAGAAAGATGTTCTCAAATACGCATAAACTCAAGAAACATAACATTTATGCACTTCTGGAAAATTTATCATGAAAAAAATTAAGAAAAGGAACAGATGAGTAACAATAATGAATTCATGAATGAGAAAGTCATGGGGCACAAAAGGTTTGGCCATGTGCTTTGATTCTATTTATACACAAACTGTATTTAAATAACTGGTATTCTAAGTCATAAAAATTACATACAATTGTTATAATGCTTATATGGAAAATTATATAATGTGAAGAATAATATTTTGATGATAATCAACTGAAACATGAATCACACTTGTCCTCCAAACTAATACAAAATGGGGAAAGAAGAAGATAGTCTGAGTAGATTAATTTCATTGTCTTTCATCCTCATTTCATTTCTATGGTAAACTAAGAAATATAAATGTAAGCATATTATTTAGCACATTTTACCACTTCCAAATTGCCAGAGTGTGGTAGGTGACCTTCTAAAGTGGCCCCCAGTGGTCCCCAGCTCCCAGTATTCATGCCCTGATGTGTAGGCTGGACATAATGACCTGCCTGTAACAAAGGAAATGTGGCAACATGATGGATTTCACTTCTGAAAGTAGGCTATAGGAGACTGTGATTTCTGTCTTGCTTATATTCTTCCTCTGACTCTTCCCTCATGCTTGTTTTGATAAAGCCAGCTGCCATGTTGTGAGCTGCCCCATGGAGAAGCCCACATGGCAGGAAACTGAGGCTCCCAAGGGCCACTAGGAACTAAATCGTGCCAAAAGCCACAGGGGTGAACTTGAAAGCAGATCCACCCCACGTTAAGCCTTCAGCTGAGAATGAAACCCAGTTCAACACCTGGGAAAACTGAAACAGTGAAAATCCTGAAGCAGAGGACTCAGCTAAGCCATGCCAGGATTCCTGACACACAGAAAGTATGAGTTGTCTTAAGCTGCTAAATCCTGGGGTAATTTGTTACACAGCAATAGATAACTAATACACAGAGGAAGATAAAACTAAAAACAGAACAAAACAAAAAGAAAGGAAACACAGATCACAAAGCAAAAGAGAAAACAAACAACAAGAATACACAATGTAACCAGGTATAACAGATAAGATTAAATATGTCTAATTACAATAATTTCAAGTGGAATAGAATAAACTATCCTAAAAAATGATTAAATGGGACAAAGAGAGTCACTTCAAAATGACAAAGGATACAGCTCCCAGTAGTTACTACTAGTGTGAATCTTCATGTATCAAATAATACACCATTAAAATACATAAAGCAACACTTCAAGAAATAAGAGGAAAAAATGAAATGTTAGATGATGTCAGTGAATTTTTAAAAATTCTTGAAAAACCAAGAAAAGAAAAAATATATATGGCTATAGAGGATGTTAATAACATGATCAAAAAGATTGATGATAATATCTGCTATATAGCTGATGCTCAATAAAAACTTATTCTATAAATCTTATTGCATGCAAAGAAAAAATAATAATATTTTAGACACCCATGTAGTATTTACAAAGGAAAATCACATGCATAGGAGAAAAAAATGTAGACAAAATACACCAAACATTTAAGAGGAATTATTTAGGAATGGATTTATTGGGAATTTTTACTTTCTGTTATTAATTTCTGATTGTTTTCATTTTTTACCACATACTTAGTTTGCTTTCATAATAAATAAATGAATTTCTAAAACGTTCCTTTTCATCTTTAGGATATTCCTGAATAATTCCATTGTCTTTCTTTCTTTTCTTATAGGAAGAACTGTTCTACCTTCTGAGAGTAAACATCTCATAGTTCCATTTCTCTTAGAAATGTTATTCCATTAACTATCCCCTCTGTTTTGAATTTCCATGTTTCTGCTTCTTCACTTTACCCTACAAACATAGCTGTCTCCTGTCCCCAATCCTAGAGCATCCCTTCATATTAAGGACCAAGTTTCCTCCTGGCCATCTCTGCCAAAATTCTCTACTGCATCCTCCAATTCTGCAATTGCAAATCCACCTCTTCTAGACATGCATTTTATTGAGTCAATATTATTTATGAGGCTTTGTGCTTAGAGTAATTACCAACTTGCCCCAAATCCTCAACTCCATCAAAAGGGTTGACTCCATCGAAAAGATCAAGAGCAGAGGCAGAGAAGACGATGCTCTCTGAATAAGTCAGGGCCTCTCCTGGCAGGAGTCATGAATGAGCATTCCTCCAGGCTGAGTCCTCCCCTCCCCGGGCTTCAACATTCCACCAACATGGATCGAGAGTTCACCTGATTCTCAGAACTCGGCCTCCACCCACAGAGTCAGAGAGCCCAAACACTCATTCCTATTTCCTGTACTCAGAGCCGCCCCATCATTTTATTTTTTGACTCCTCTGGGACTGGTTTTAATATTCCCTTGATCCCTGTCTTTGTCAGCCACCACAAGAAGTCCCAGACTCCCAGGTCCCACCTGAAGTCTCATTCCCACAAGGCTTCGAACATTTCCTAATCTATCTCCATCTCCCAGCCTTCCGCACCCACTGAGACTCTTCCTCAGTGCCCTCTCCCACATCACTTTTCATTGCTACCACTCTGGTTCCAGCCACTATTGTTTCTTGTCTCAATTATTGCAATAGCTTCTAGCCTGTTGGGCTTCTACCACTGCTCTCTACGATCTAGCCTGGAGAGAGCAGCCAGAATAAGCCTTTAAAAATATGCCTGGAGGGAGGGTATAGCTCGGTGGTAGAGTGCATGCTTAGCACGCGTAAGATCCTGGTTTCGATCCCAAGAACCTCCATATAAAAAAAAAGAGAGAGAGAGAAAGAGAAAAGAATGCTAAAAATATGCCTGACCTCATCACTCTTCTGCTCAGAACTGTCCAGCAGTTGCCCATTTCATCTGGCTTGACAGGCAAAGCCCGTGGAATGCCCTATGAGCCCTGCATCACCCGCTCCAACCCAGAGGTTATCCTTAGTCCCCCTGCTTCTCACCACCAGCTCTCCCAACCAACCACACTGGCATCCTTGTCATTTCTTGTAAACGCCATGCACCTGCACCTTGTGGCCTATGTCTACCTAACTCCCCTATCCCCCTGGAATGTTCTCTCAGCAATCCACAAGGCCACTCTTTTAGCAACTCCCGATCTTTCCTTGAACGTCACCTTCTCAATAAAATTTACCATATTTAACATTTCAACTCACACTCTTTCCTGCATCCTCTAACGCCCTTATCCTGCTTTTTTCACAACATTTACCATTTTCTTTTTTTTAACATTTTTTTTGATTTATAATCATTTTACAATGTTGTGTCAAATTCCAGTGTTCATACCATTTTCTGACACATAGAATTTACTTATTTAGTTTGTACTTATTGTCTACTTCTTTCACGCTCATATTAGAATGTAAGCTTGATAAGGGCAATACACTTTTTCTGTTTTATTTACTGATGTCTCTCAAGTATCTAGAATGGTGCCTAGTACATCGTAGGCACTCAAAGGATGTTTGTTGACTGGCTGAATAAGGGGTTCACAGCCTCATCAAACCTAATGCCCCTTTTAGTAACAAATACAGGGTAATATCTTCTTCAACATTGTGAAAGGAAACTAATAAGCTGCCCGCACAATATCATTTTTTAAACATTCAGAGCAACAACTTCACTGTAATATAAAGGAAAAAGTAAATGTGTGACTCAACACGGAACTGCTCAGGCATCCCTAAACTAAAAGCCACAGTGAAGGAGTCAGATGCTTGCATCCTCTGTAGAATCATCATGAAGTGAACAGCACAAAATGGACTGTACTGGTGACTCAAATTCCAAGAATGGCACTGCCATCTCACTGTGTGAAAAACAGTTTATGATAGAATATATATTAAAATATAATCTATTTAAATAGTTTCAAGGCTCATGTAAAAATAAACAGGTTTTTCACCTACGTGAATGAGCAGCGGACAGTCAAGTCACACAGGATGTGGGACAACTCTGCTGCTCAGGACTGTCCTGGACACCGCAAGATGTCTAGTGTCTCTGGCCCCACCCGACTACATTCTAGGAGGTCCCCACCCATAATCCCTTGGACAAACAAAGTCACTCTGGTAAATTTCCAAACCAACTCCTGGGGGCAGTTCCATCCTGATAGATCTTGGTCTGTAAGCCCAGAGGCCTCTTTTCTGTTGTCATTGGCTACCTCGCTATGGCATCTGACCTCCTCTCCACTTCTCTTTCCTCCCTTGGCCCATGTCGCTGCACTCCTGCAGCTTCCCCGCATGCCCTCCCCCAGTTCCTGCCTGCTGTCCTCGCCTAACTCCTCCCCTCCCCTCCCCCCTCTGCTGCCCTTCCTTCTTCCTCTCCACCTGATCTCCAACTACCTGTCCTAAGTCACTAACTCTCAAAGGTCTGTTTCTGCACAGGACATCTAGATCCACACTTCCAGCTGCCGCTTTGTCACTTGTACAGAGAAAGCCTCAAGTTATCCAAGTCCAAGATCAGTCATCTTCTTCCAAAACCCGTAATCCCATCAGTTATACCTGCTTATGTGAATGACATCATCCACTTCATCTGGAAATGAGCGCCATTTCCATCCCCGTTCCTCACTCCCACATCCAGCTGTCTGTCTGTTTTCCCCCTAAAGTGTCTCATATCTGCTTCCTTTTTATCACTAGTTCAAACTACCACTACCTGTAACTTAGAATACTGTCCTCCTAACTGGTACTTCTGCTCTAAGTTATCTTTTGATGATTCCACAAAAGGAGTTTCTGCAGGGAATAGTAATATTTATTAGTATTTATAAATAGTAGTATTTATACTTAGCACAGTGCCTGGCCTTCAAGCACTCAGTTGTCCCAGGCCAGGCACTAGACTAGGTGCTTCTCATTTCTTTTAATCTGCACAACCACACCACAATATAGCAACCACTTATTATTTATAATAGGAAACATTATTATTTAAATCTTAAAGATGAGGAAAAAGAGGTTTGGGGAGACTCGATAACTTACCTGGGGTCACAGAGCTAGCTCCAAAGTGACAACACCAGGATTTTAGGTCGATCGGGCTTCTGGCTTCTGAAATCCCTGGTTTTAATTCTTTTTCTCCTCCTCCTCCTCCTCCCCTCCCCCTCCTCCTCCTCCTCCTCTTCTTCTTCTTCTTTATTTTTTTTTTGGATACAACTTTTCTATACTGTCCCTAGCCTAATCACAACCTTCTATGCAGTCTCTACATCAGTCCCATTTGCCTTTTCCTTCCCACTCCATTCTTCTAATCAATAAGTTCTTCTTTTTGGTTTTACTTATTTCCATATTTAGTAGAGATTTTTTATCAGCTATTTCAAGAAAGTCCTTCACAGCAGGCTGCCCTCTTTCACCGCGCCCACCACATCTGACACAGCCCTCCTCACTCTCTTCCCCCTGCCAAGACAAAGGGTGGAGAAGGAAAAGAACGCGGGTTGGGGGAGCGGGGAGGGCTCCAACCTCCGCAGGTGCGCATACAGAAAAACTCCTCGCATCTTGAGTTTTCCTCTGTGTAACTCAGTGTTGCTTTATGGTTCTAATATAATGAACCAAGTAAGTAAAGACTGCTTTGTAAACTGTAGAGTGCTCTACGAATGTCACGTGCGGTTATTCATTCATTCTCCCTTTGCATGCCCCGCACTTCAACAGAGTGAGCAACAGAATAGGTGTTCCAAGCAGAGTGCCACGTGTGTGTTTGGAGTGAAAGGAGAGTAAGGCCCTAAGGTATGAACTTGGCCCCGGAAATCTATACTTGTCACTGCTGCCAAAACCCACCTTAAAACTTCATCAGAGTTGCCACGTGCGAGTAAGACGGAGAAAATGGTGTTAGTCAGAAAACCCCCGATTTAAAAGTCTCTCTAGGAGTGTTTCCCACCCCCAGCTCCCTGGCGTTTTTAAGTTCTTGCCAACGTCCTCCTCACCGCCTCAAGGCCTCGGGCCCCCGCCCCTTCCCTCCGGCCTCTCGTCTCCTCGCTGAGCTGCCAACGGCACACG